AAAGTGTAAAAAAAACAACACTATATTTCAGCGGTAGCAAGTAGGGTCCCATATACTTGAAGTTGTATTATTGTTGTGTATCTCGTGCCATATAAATGTTTTCATAGTCTCAATTAAGTTTGGATGTAATGACTATCTAAATAAACTTACGATGACGAAGACTGGTTTAAGGTTGACCATTCCATGTCGATAAAATGCAAAATGGTAAATGCTTATCGCAATGACGAGCCATGCTATTGGCTAATACGGACAGGACACGTGACGTGATACAGGAATGAGGCGCCACCGATGCCACAAAGGAATGCGCCATCTCTACTTCCGCCTTTGGGCGCCTGTTAAATGATGATGGTTTAAATCTATCTTAAAGCATGAGTCTTGAGATAACCGGAACACTTTCATTCAAATAAGCATCAATCTTTTAATCGGTAGCAATGGATACACCTGCTGGACTTTCCCTCTCATTTTCCAGGTAATGATAGTGAAATAATGTCTTGATGAAGAAAACAAATTATTAAAATTAAATTTACCCTATGTTTAGAACTCTCTGTTGTCTTTTACGAACAATTGAGTATTAAAAGCTCTAAGGCGAGGGGAATATCGTAAAATGATAACGTTATACACGCACACACATCTTCGCACACGCACACGCACACCCCCACAAAGAACATACACAACACAAACACTCACACACAACCATATATAGTTATATATATATTCTCTAGGAAAAACATTAAAATAAAATATTCCGTTGGCATGTGTATTGTATGTATATGCACATATACATGTATATGTACATACGTTATTTAATTGAATTTTACTCTTTAAAAAAAAAATTGATAACGTTTAAACATAAGACCTTCCTGTAGTATTATTGTGTCCCACCTAATAAACAGTAGCATACATTATGATTACATGTAGCATATCATGAATTAATGAGAAAGAGAACGGGTAAACTCAAAGTCGTGCAGACTGTGTGTTGCCTCTTTATGTATCAAATAAAGTATTTTCCTTTATTTTCATTTATGAAACGTTTCCTGAAAATGAAGATAATCTACCATTAGACTATAATACCATTTCTCTCCATCAAACTATCAAAAAACAGTTTTAACGAGGATATTACCTTCTTTGTTCTTCTCTTGATTTCTTTACATTCGGGTTAAGAAAATGATATCTAAAACTTGAAGAAAAAAATTGGGAAATTTCGCTTCCTTCAGGTGATTAATTTTCGACTTTGGATGGAATCGTTTTAAAACACCTTTTTTGTAATCACCTCGATACCACCTCCATAATTACGTGAGATATGCAGATCTTAATTATCACATATCGTGACTTATAATTAATGGTTGTTTTCCCTGTCTTAAGGGTAATAAAATAAGATAAGTGCAACCCAAAATTACCTTGAGTAAATAGTTAATCGGTCAAAGTTCTAGTTTGTTTGTTCATTCAAGAAACGGGAAGTGGCTAAACGGCCGGCTGCGATCGCAAAATCAGTATAATGATCAATGCTAACTGCTTTAAAGATAAAGTAATTATATTTAATAGTTAGGTAAACAACAAGATTACTTAGGGTTTCATTGTTATTCTTTCCATTCAGAGGCGTCCGTTTAAGGTGCTATAAAACACTTCAACATTTGTTTTATGGGATTGGTTTTTGTGTATACTTACAAAGATAACTTGTGAATTCCTACATTATACTATGAAAGTGATGGTAACGTTGTTTAATTTTCTAGCATTGTCTAGCGTCTAGAAGTCGGACGATTGTACTTGTGCTACTTTAATTAGACAGTGTGTTTATAGTTTGCATTTTTATTACACGATGTCGGGACGGTGATTTATTCAAAGGATATCATTTCACGTACGAAAAAGGATGATTAGAAAGGGAGGGGCACCATGCACAGGCAGTTAGGTGTTTTCATTCTAATTAAAATCGCGTTTTCCAACAACTCTGTTCAAATACAACAATGAAGGACCTTGGTCAATTTTATAAATATACCCTTACCCTTCCACAAAAAATTAATATGTATACATTTCATCTTCTCTGCAATGTATGTTTTCAATTTTACAGGAAAAGTTTTATCAAAATATATTGAGTTCAACAAGTCAAGACTAGAACTATGTCAGAGCAGAGTGGCTTCTATGCTTCGAACTAAGAGTTACCAGGTTGTAACATTTATTTGCCACCACCGTCGTTCGGCATATATTTCTAAAATTATGGTGTTAAAGTTTTACCACTTTATTTAGCCCGTGATAAGATCGAAAATACTTTAGTGGTGAGATAGAATATACAAATTAATTGATCCATTGAGTAACTGATCAATATCATGTAAAGAAACTATGCAATCATGTCTGACAAAAAAATCTATGACCGAACTTATTGAAATTATCCTCTTGAGTGGTATTTTTTAAGTGAACTCTTTTTCTGTTTTCCTCTCGCTCCATGCACCATCGCAAAGCTTCAAGTTTTACTCTATTTGTAGTGTCGGTTGAAGAAATGTAGAGAAAATTAAATAATAAATCAATCATACAGAACGATATTGCACATTTATTTTTCGGCTTCTAACCTATGTTTTTAACCATCGTTTTATCTGCGACTGAAATTTTCTCCAATAAAGTCATCGTCAACACTTTTTTAATCTAAATGCATTTCCGGCGCAAGCCGCCTCTATTTTTTTTTTCTTAATCTTAATATCATGATGAATGAGCCATAGAGAATTTTTTCTTTTCACTAAGGAAATTTACATGTGTTTAAATAATCGATTCTCTGTTTAATATTTAGATTTCTGTATCTAATATAATTGCCATTTTTCGGATCACAGGAAGATCGTTATTAAAGGGTACGGATGGCTATAGCCCACCTCCTCTAAGACAGGTCCATAGAGGAGGTGCGGTTGCTCAGTTGTAGAGCAGAGTTCTCGTAACCGGGAGGTCCCGCGTTCGAAGCCAAGTAAATGCGCTCGTGCCCTTTGGTAAGACTTTAATCCGCATTACCAAGTTCCTCGGAGAAGACTTAAAGTCATCAGTCCCCTCGTTGCTTATTTACAAACATATACATGTTTTCTTAACAGCCAGGTATATAAAGCAATCCTCAAACATCATCACAACATCATGTCTGGGAATCTCTATGGATTATCTGAGAGATTTGCATGAATATACGTCGTTTGATTGGGGACGATTCTGACTAACTTTTATATCAGCAAAATAATATGCTTGATGAAATAATATTAGTTGGATCTCTTCGTAACCAACAATTTGTCAATACCTTCAAAAATATCTAAAAACTCACCTCTTCTGTGAACAATATAACTGTAAAGCGCATTTGAACATATATATGGAAAAAGCGCTATATAAATAAATTATTATTATTGGTGGATGTTTTGTGACAAAAAAAAGTTAAAGAAAATAAATATCTGAATATTAATGCGGCAGGAAAGGACAAGATAGCACAGAAGCAAAAGGAAACGAAACAATAGATCGATATATAAGTGGTAATGATCAACATAGCAATAGTTCATTTTCTTTCCAACACGTGTCACTCATATGCGATACTTTATTTTTGTTATACATATTTCTAAAAGGTTTGAAATATGAACCACACCAAAAATATGAATATCCATAGTATTTATATGAAGGACATATTAATTGTCTCTATGTATTCAAATTTCTAGAGAAAGATGGGAAAGTGGAAGAGAATTTAGTTGATTGATTATGCTCCTTCCCGTGCGATCTAAATTCACACATAAAGTACTGCTAATATCTTGACAAAGGAGATTGGACTATTTGGTCCCATATTAATGGTACAAAGAAATTTTACTGAGATTCAGACTTTGTGTAGTCTCGAATTCATTTTATCAATTAAACATTATTACTTCCCCCCCCCCCCCCATCAACAAGATGATTTTTCTTGAATGAACATTTGAAAACTGGGTTTTGTTTGAAGGGTACAGATAATTACTTACATTTTACATCAATTTGTATTCACATTCATTTCAAAGGTGTCGGTATGCAATGCAATTCTTTAGGATATGTTTAGGTTTTATCATAAGCGTTTCTTTCATTATTCTGCTATAATTATATTTAGAATCGTCACGATTCGAGTAATGATGCTATGTCTCCTTCCTCAGAAGAATGTACAGACAATATCTTTTGTTTTAATTGCGGTATGATTTTACAACATATTTAATTACTGCAAATGATTTGAGAAAAATTGCTTTGTCAAATTTTAATCTTAGCCATGTATAAGGAAAACACGATCGTCTAAATGTTCAAGACAGCAAGTTTCAATAACCCCGTCAACAACCTTTACAGTTATTAAACTACATACAAATTTGAATACTAATTACATTACATAATCCGAATATGCTACCTCTTGAAAATACATTACGGTATTGAAATTGCCCTAGAGTTTATTCCTTGGAATTTTTTGCGATCGTATTGAAATATATGTTCATCATTCATAATATTCGAGGCGAAACATCCCGGAACAGTTGGAGTAGAGGAAATATTTTCCCATACTTGTCAACATCCTTTTCTCGTCGAACTCAAAACTGCTTCAAAGAATTTATTTCCGATCAAGGTTTCAAAATGAAAATCTACTTGAATTCTCTATAACTATATAAAGTACAATCTAGTTACAGGTTTACACAGTTAAGCAAGCGATCTTATCTTACTCATATTAGAAATACCCTTCCTGTTTTTTTTACAAGATCTGGTAGCTATGGCTAGGTTTTTATGCAGGTTTTAAAACGAGGTATTTTTAAACAACTGTTTTTCGGAGAGGGGTCTTTTTATGTCTATATAGAGTCTGATTAGTTTGTCGTTGTCTATATGTAGGCCTTTATTTTAAAGAGAACAATACGTGTATCCATAAATGAGTAAGCTGATACAAACGAGCTGTCATACGTTTATGCTTCAAAAGTGTTAAACATTACACAAATTTGAACATTTAAATTTCGCATAAAAAGTTCTTTTTTCTTCCTGAGAAGCAATAATTAGTTTCTTACCTGGCGGGCATGTCAAATGACTGTCTCTCCAGACGGGTGAATGGAGTAGATTTGCGGGCCAGTAGAGAGCCGCCGCTGCCGCTGCTGCCGCCTGACCTGCCGATCCAAAATCAGCGAGCGGCTTTCCCATACGATGGAAGTACAGCCCCGCCGGGCCAGCGTAGCCGGCGAATCTGTTGAGAAGTCCGTGGTTAGCGAGTGCAGCCGTCGCTGCGGCAGCAGCCTGCTGCCCGTCTGGTCGGGATAAAATATCATTGATGCCGTGTGGGGTGGCGCCCGGTCCTGCCGAGTACGATGCGGCTATGCTGGCGGGAATGGCCATCGGTTTGAATGTACCGTTCTGCATGGAAACGGGGACGAAGGCCGGATGGGGGTAGCTGAGTGTCGGTGCCTTTTCAGTCATGCTGTGTAATGCGGCGAGCTGAGGGGAACCAAATACCAACGAAGATGGTCGGGCGGCCTCTACTAGATTGTGCAGAGAAATCATCGATTCGGAGAGTTTATCCATCTCTGAAAATAGAGGAGACAAAAAGATGTGTCCTACGGCTTCACAAGGTTGCTTCCAAAATCCTCCTTTTAGCAACTGTCACAAATCAGTGACGATACTTAAGAATCTCCAAAAGAGTAGAATAGATTCACGATCGCCACACAAATATAAAACACTTGAGTCGACTGTTTTCAGTATATTACAGGTGACCGAAGAAGCTTGATCAACTAAAAGTGTGGAAGAATCTAGAAATTCACTCCTAAAATATCATCTCTGAAGACGAACAAGTCATTCTTGGATGCCACACACTTCGGACAGACGGGGAAAACCAGTGATTGGAACAACTGCCAACGGACATCAATAAGTAGTGGCTATTATACCTTCCCTGGAGCAAAAAACAAGCAGCTTAACAACATCGACAAATTTTTCGTCAAGATATTCACAAATAGCCCATTATGCCCAACGAATAAATATTACACACCGTGTCAAGTTTATCCGCATGCTCCAATAGAGTTTGAGAGGTTTCAGTGAGGTTGGTGTGACGTGCGTGGTAGAAGTTCGCATGTGTGTGTGTGTTGTGTGTACCCGATGGATCCCTAAGCATGCGCAGTAGCGACTTTATATAGCTTCAGCAGGTTTTTTTTATATCCTAAACAAGGGATGAATTAGACATTGTTATGGATATCGACGAAAACATTCTTCTTTCTTTTGTTCAGCCTTTAACTTCATTTATATTTTAAATGCTGGTGTAATATTAATATTCGTATACCTGAGGTATTTATTTTCTTGTCTGCTTATCTTTTAACTCTTTCTCTCTCTGGCCCTGTCTATGTCTCTGTCTCTCTCACTCTCTATCCCTATCTATCTACTATCTATCTATCTGTATTTATCTTTCTTTATCTAGCATTTCCGCACTTCACCCATCTCTAAATGTTTCGTACAACTCACAATTGTAACTTTATTTGATATGTTTTTTTTATATTGTTTGAATTAGTTTTTGGAATATCCTGTTATTTTCTCTAACTTTCGTGTTTCATGTCGATGTGTATTGTCTAGTAGCATCTTCTGGCGGAAAACAAACATTCTATGCAGTCATTAAAATCAGAAAACACTTACAAAAGCAAAAACATACCAACACTGAAACACGGATCGCAAAGACTTCTGGGAAATCCACTGAAGGGCAACTTTGATTCCCTGTTGTATACTGCAAAGAAATCATGTTCGCATTACGTAATATTGTTAAATATGTGTTAATTTCGAAAGGTGAAGTACAAGGCCATTGAAATTGCATTAGTTTGATTTCTGTTTAATTAGTTCCAATCGTGTTAAACAAACAAATGAACTAAAGATACACATTCTAGATCCCATTCCACAACATGCACTCCCACACCCCTTTCCTCTTCCTCTCTTTCCCCCTTTCTCTCTCTCTCTCTCTCTCTTATCGTCCCCGTTCCCCTCTCTCTCTCTCCCTCTCTTTCTTCCTTTTCTCATTCTGTCTTTCTCTCTATCTCTCGCTCTCACCCGCTCTCTAATTCATTTCCACCATATCATTCTCTCCCATTCTTCCGAAATTAACAGGTCCAACATGGAATTAACAAACGCAGTGAAAGTCCACGCAATCATCGTTGAACTATGACCATGCCGATTGGTCGACCATTTCGTGACGTCACGTAATTATTGGGCTGCATGATTCTGGTGTACGGGGAAACCCATGGGATAAACGGCAGGCGCGGAATCTCTGTAAATCAACAAATTTGTCAGATCTCCTTTAAATCAACACATGTCCCTTTCTTTTTAGCGATGACTTTGACAGGCCCATGGCTGCAGCGTTAGGGAATCTAGCCCCGTTGCGCCTTCCACTGTACACTTGTGTGGGCGGGAGGCGGGAGAGAGAAATGGGCTGTCGAACGCTTCTCGCATGGAATGGGGTGGGAAGGGGAGGGGTCTATGGAATTGTCAACATTTCGAGGTATTCATTAAAAACGGTTATAAAAAGGAACAAAACAAAATTAGCAGAAGAAAAGGCAATTATATTCCTTAGCTAAAAGCTCCTTCAGATATGAAACCGCGCCAAAAACGCGGTGGCTTTTTGTGATGATGCCAAGTGTATAGCACACGTCTCATTTTTGTAATTTATGACACAGAGCTCCGTGATTATGGCGCGTACTCTGTTGCGCGCAGTTATTCATTTACAAGTAAATTACAAAACAAAATGGCGGCTTAGCGCCATATCTGAACGGAATATCTTGAGAAACAAACTATAAATGTAAGATCAACAACAAGACAAAGAAAATTAAAGAAATGTGCCCAAATGAACTACATGTCATTTAATTTAGGTTTAAATGTAAAAATATTAGTACTAAATCACATTGTACTATGTCTTTTGGAAATGTTATTTTTAACTTGGGGACGACGAAATGACACATTATAAACTGGAAATCGTTGTTAAGGCTGATGAGTATGTTTGTGTGTGTGTGGGGGGGGGGGGTGGAGTTTTGTTTAAGCCCATCCCCACTGTTGCTACCGTTAGGCATGACGTCCTGGCATAATGGCGTCAACATTTTGATTTATTTAAAGAAAAAAAGTAATTTACTATATAAAGTATAGAAATTAAAGAAAGTTCACTCTCTATCCGGATATGTGATGGCGATTGCCTGAACACGGGTACTTTCACATTCCGTTTAGGGGGCGGGGTGCAGCAGCCCATATCCCATCCGCACGCCTTTCGTTTGGTACGCCTGGTTTACATGACCGCACGTGTGCGTTTCGTTCACCTTGGGTCCTTCGTTTGAAGGGAAGAAAAATAACCAGAATTGATCTCGATTTGATTGAATGAGAATTTCATAGCGCATGTCGGATTTGCGGCCGAGGAATTAACAACTCGCGGCTCCTTTTGAGAGCTCCCAATCCACCCTCAATTCTTTCCTCTCACTTTCCTCCTTCTTGACGGGACCCGGAGAAGAGTGGGGCTATAATGGGGTCCCATCTCATTATTGGCGTAAATCCCTAACAAAATACGCACCTTCTTTTAATATACACCGATAGGGGTTTTATGCCAAAACCGAACAATTTCGGCAAAGATTTTGCGGGCACTTATGCGATTTCCTGAAAAGCTCTGGATGCTAAGCTATTCATGTTGTTTGCATTAAACGGCACCATCCGACCGCCTACAGATCGCATTACTCCAGCCTACTAACGAGTAAATTCACACTTTGAAGTGCGTGATTTCGTTTTGTCTTGAAATCATTTCAATTCCTCTTCTCATCTCCCTCCTCGCAAATTGAATCCTGATCTTTTAAGGACGGCCGTAACCGATCGGAACATTCTGTTTCTAATTTGTCGGGAAATAGTCTATCATGGAAACAGGCAGATCAATAATAGGACCTACCGCGATATCTTGAGAGGGTTATTTGTGCGACTTCGTCCGTGATTTGAAATCGCCTTTCCATCAACCATATTGCCAGCAGAAGTAGTAAACACATTTTTTACACAATGCAATTTGTTCATCCTATTGATGGTATTAATTTTGAAGGTCATGGCTTTAAGAACTTCTGCCCGGCAACTCAAATTAAAGTTTTGTGACGATAACTTAATTGAGGTTAATTTAATGTGATCTTCTTATGAATAGAATTGTATAGCTTCTTAGTCACAGAGAGAGAGAGAGAAAGGGAAGAAGAGAGAGTTGAAACAAGAGAAACAGAGAGTAAGCAAGATGCAGAGAAAGTGTGATGGCGGAGATAGAGAGAGAGAGAGAGAGTTATAAGAAGAGAAAGGGAGAGTTAACATAAGAGAAAGGGAAATGGGCAGAGAGAAGGAGTTAGAGGAGAGATGGAGAAAGGCAGAAAGAGGGAGGGAGTTAGTAAGGCGATGGAGAGAGAGGGAGAACATCAGGAAATGTAAATGAGAAATACATTTCCTAATAAAAAGAAAATGTCCCTTTGATCACAAGGGGCAAAAAACAAGATCCACAATTCAAGAAAGCGCCTCAGAACCATCTGTCCCGAATCTTCAAATGCGATGTAATCAAGATTTCATACTCTCACATGCTACTTCAGTACTTCCGTCCATTCGTTTTTCATTTATTGCCTAAGATGTTTTCAGACTCGAAAGCAAGCAAGATGCGAGGTTTTATTCAACAGCACGCGAGCACGTGTTGAAAAGGTGGACCTCGCAGGATAAAGCCGCTCCAATCTCCGCCGATTTAAATGAAACTTCAAAGGTGAACGTGATGGGGAAAGTATGGCGCTTTTCAACATGTACCCCCTTGCTTTAGAGTGCAGTGGAGAAAGAGAGAGAGAGAGAGAGAGATAGACAGACACACAGAGACAGAACGGCAGAAAGACAGGGAAACAGATACACAGATACAGAGAGAGAGAGAGAGAGAGAGAGAGAGGAAGACATAGACAGAGACACAGAGACAGACCGGCAGAAAGACAGGGAAACAGATACACAGACAGAGACAGAGAGACACAGAGAGGGAGAGAGACAGATACAGAGAGAAAGAATCAAATGAAAATTCCACTAACTAGAGTGTGATGCAGGCGTGTATGTATGTTCACGATAACAAAATGAAAAGTGGGAAATAAAAGAAGAATAATTCAGAACAAAGAACCAGGGATGTAATTCAAAACGCGACAGAGAGAAAAAAAAAAGAAGTTAATGATTAGGCAATTATGATGATGGTGGTGATGGTGGTGATGATGGTGGTGTTGATGTCGTTGATCCTCTATTTTCAGATTTGATAAAATAAGGGATATTTCAAAAACTGTCTGTCGAAAGCAACTCCGAAACTAGTAATATTCTTGTTATAATATATCAACAAGTCATACAATACCCAAATTTTTTGTTCAATAATATTTCAAGATTTACTTCATTCGCATACTTAGGGCAGTGATATCGTTTCCACTTACACTTTTGTTTAATTACTGATAAACATTGTTTTCATTAATATTATATTTTTCATATGTAACACAATAGTTTAATGCTTGTTTTTAAGGTGTGGATTAGATTATGATCATCACAATTTAGTCTTCAGATTTTTGTTAATATCTACTATAATTTTACGGAAATTGTCCACGGTGACAACTTAATATTTTCTATAAATATTATTTTGTATGAAGTGTTCGCAAAATATTGTATCCGGTAGAGTTTAAAATCATTGAAGGGGAAGTCCACCCTCATTATTAAGTTAGATTTTAATATAAGCAGACATATAACAAATTAGTGAAGATTTAAGCAATATCAGATTAAAAATAGGAAAGAGTTGTGAATTTTCGAAGTTTTCATTAGATAAACACATCTTTGCAACACTGTGACGTATCTTGTGAGCTTCTCTCCAATTGCTTAGTACAGAAAATGTCATAACCTTTCATTTTCTTATTTATTTATGACGCAATATTTATTTAATACACGAGTGGTATAAAAAAAAAACCTATTTGCAATAATTATATTAAAGGTACTATGTCCCATTTGCAGGCCAAAAAAATGAAAAAGTTAAATTCCAACTGCATTTGAAAGATAATACTAATTTAGAACTTCCCTAAAAAAGGTGGGGCTTGAAAATGTCTTCAAGTGGGAAAATAACGACTATTAGTTGTCAAATCGACTTTAGGGCTATAGAGCCCAAAAGTAATAGTCTTGATTTTCAGAAAATTGTACCGAATGGTCATGCATTTTATGCTGCGCAAAGATTCAATCACTTTAATCTT